TTACATTTAAGCAACCAAGTTTCCAGGAATATAAAACCAGGGAGAGCTGAGTTTGCTTTGCTTGAAGCTGTAAACACTGATCCACGATTTGGGAAAAGTCATGTGACCACACAGCATTAACCATGTTTGAATCCTGAGCCCTGGTTTGAATGCATCCGCATTTGTGGCTAAATTCTGTCAATGATTCCTTTATGCCCCAGCCTTGTGTTACTGCCAGGGATTTAGATTATGCTGTAGAATGAATGGGTAGGACACACACCAAGGATTTTACGTCATACAACATATTGGTTTAAACGAGGCCCTGTGTGCAACAGGATCAAGACTTGTTCTCTCTTTTCCAAGACCCTGAGGGGTGTGTAGTGCCCCTTCAAAAGTTCATGCTTGGCAAATCTCAAAGCCAAGACCTCAGAATCCCTTTTAGGAGGCACATGGGAATTCCTTACCCACAGCACTGCTGCAGGGAATGAGCTTACCACGTGAGAGGAGTCTCACGTGGGGCAGTGTCAGGTACAGCAAGGGAGGGCCAGTCCTGGCAGGAGAGGTCCCTGCCAAGGACCCTGGAGGTTTAGATGCTGTCATGGGGCTTACGAGAATCAAGTCATGCTGTGATTCCCTGGTCCATTCCCAGCTTCATTTCCCTCCCAAGAGCAATACCTGATGACTTCAGCTCTGCGAGCAGAGTGCTTCTTCATCTTCCCTTTCAAAGGGAAGACAACAATGGCAACCAAATAACCCCTTCCATGGCTGCTTTCCTGCAGTAAGCTCATTTCTTTGATCTGGCAGTGAAAAGTGCCCGTTTCAAAGAGAAATCTCACCCCAGGCCAAACGACCAAACTCCTGCCACCTCAGCCCCAACTTCACTAGCCACTGTGCACAGTGAGGTGGGGAGGGAGGACAGCAGAGGGCTCGCATGGTCCTTATGAGGCTGAAAAGGCTCAAGTCCCTGGAGCATGATGCCTGGCTCCTAACAGGTAACAGAGGCCCATTACTGCTGATGTGTTCACAGACTCAAGGCCAGAGAAAGCCAGAAGCCCTGGAAATCTTGGGCAACCAGGAACAAAGCATTTGTATAGATTTCAGATCTGCAGCCTATGGGCCTCTGCCTGCATTAGCAGAGTGTGGAGCACAGCTTAACCTGTTTTAGGATGCTCAAGTGCACTTGTGCTTTTGTGGTGGGCAGCGTGAATGGGAGTGGCCGGGTCTGAGGGTGGCGTCTTGCTTGGGAGCCTGTTCTCACAGGTGCGTCCAACTGTAGCTACAAATGTGCCCATCACAAAATGGTAAACTTAAGTCATTTTTTTCAAATTCAATTGCACAGCCTTGAGCATAAACTTTATAGATGGTAGTATTGTATTGCAAAGTCACAAGGTTGGACACACCTACTACCTCCTCTGGAGCGTAGATGAGGGCTGTGTGGTGGACCTGGCCAGGGCTGTGTTTTCCTGGCTAACATTGTTGTTTTTGTAAAGATTAGATTTTGAATTGTTGGTTGATGAGTTCTCCCTCTTCAATTTCCTCCTAAAGGCTGTGAGAACATCTTACCATTTATAATCTGTTGAAGAGGAGGGGAAGTTGGTTTGAATTACAGGGACATTCAGGAAGAGGCTTGTATTCGAACCTGGGTGACCCAACCTCCTTGCTCAGGTTCCCCTTTTCTTGGGGGATCTTGCTTCTGACACTTCTCCCAGGAATGGGAAGCATTGGGAGTCTAGGGTGGGCTGAGTTAGGGACACCTATCAATCTGAGGATGTAGCTTCCCAGAACTGCATTCTTGCATCCAAGATTCCTAGAGTCCTGGTGTTTACTAAAAGCAAAGCAGTTCTTTAATGAAGAATCAAGAGGGCCAAATGCCACTAGCTCTGAGCAGCACTAGAAAAGACCTCTGCACCATCCATTGAGACTCTGACTCCCAGGGTCCCGTCTGTGGCTGGTCCTCCTGAGGATTCACACCTCCCCCTTTTAAATTATATAGGAAGACTCTTAGGGGTCAAACGGTGCCACAAACATCAGTGAAGCTGATGTTCACCAATAATCCAATAATCCGACCTTTGGCCAAGTGCTCAGTGTGTGACAGAGTTTTTGTATGTGCTGTTGGAGGGAGAATCAGTTTTCTCCAGGGACTAGCTCCCTGAGAGGTTATCTAACCCTAAATGGACAGTCCTAAATACAGGTACACAGGAACACTATTAAATGAACTCAGTACATTATATATATATATGTATATGTATAGATGTATATTTAACAGCAATAACATGGGAGGAGTTGGTGGACTGGGAGAGACAGAAATAATGCAAAGACAGCACTTGTATGAAATTCTCAAAAATAAAAAAATTAAAAATTAAGAAAAGTATTTTTGTCTGAATCATATTTGATCCTCAATCCTAGGACTTAGGTCCTACTGTTATTCTCTGCTAATGATGAGAGAACCACAATGTGCTCAGACTGTACAACCAGGAGCAGTAAGGTCTCAGGTCACAGCCCCTTGGCCCCCTTCCCCCGAAGACTGGTTCAGTGCAGTGACTCTGAAAAGCCTATGTAGCTTATTTTTAATTTTTTTGCTGTTGTGTGTGTTTGTGTGCACATGTAGAGAGGCCAGAGGACAACTTTTGTGGAGTCAGTTCACTCTTTCTTCCTTTAGGTAGGTTCTGGGAATTGAACTCAGGGCATCATCAAAACATACTAGTGGGGACAGTGCCTTTATCCCCTGAGCCATCTTGCTGGCCCCATGGAACTTATTTCTAAGAATCTCTTTGAGATGCAGATATTTATCAGTTGCACAATGAGCTTAAAGACTCTTAAGCAAAAGTCTGTTAATAGTTTGACAAACCTGAAACCCAGCTGTTCCTGTCACCCATCGCTCACTCCAGACTTAAAGTAACCAAGGTGCTTTGTGACCTTCACTGTCAGGGGTTTCAGTCTGACCTTGAGATCTTTGTATTGATGTGGCCTCAGGACAAACAAGGCCTTGTTAGGTCTAGGTGTACAGGTCCTGGGTAACACGTCAAAACTTAAATGCAAAATGTATGAAGGAGAAGCAAGACATTACTAAGGATCACAAGTGCTGGTGGGAATTTAGATGGGGTGGGAGGTGTGGGTGTGGGGGCAGAACAAAGCTCAGTCAGCCATGTGGAGCACGCACAGCGCCCGGGGGCCACGACTTTATTAAAGTCCTTATGCAGGCTCCATGACTTTCCTGTGGATTTCTGGTTTAAAGAAAACTCATGTGAAATGGAAACTTATTTACAGGTGCAGACCATCAGGTTTGATTGTGTCCAGCAGCTCAAAGGTGTGTTGGGTTGGGTACGATGAGGAATAAGTGGACTAGATTGCAAACAACGAAAAGGGAGGGGAAGTTTAACTTGACCAAAGGTAACAGGGTAAAACTGGGTTTCAAATGACTTGTGTCAGACTTAGGTGTTGGGCCAACAAATTTGTGACGGGTGCCTTTTTTGCTAACCATGGTTATGGGCAGCCTACACATAGCTGGATGCTGCCTCTCACAGAATGTGGAGCGTTCACTCTGACATTCAGTGAGCCGTTAGGTGTGTGTTGAGAGCCCCTTACCTGAGGAATCTGCTCTTGCCTGCATTGCTCTAAGCTCAAAGGGACCATTAGCTGTACCACGTTGCCAGAGCTCTGAGGTTAAACTGAGAAAGGGAACCTCAACCTGCTGGTTACATGCTTCAGATACCCAGCTTGGCCATAAGTAAGAGCAAATAGAATGGCATGAATCAACCATCTATTAGCTACATATAACAATGATGGTAGCTAGGTAATATCTACACTGTATGAGCTGCTGGTGAGAGTAAGGGACATGATTAAAATGCCGGAATCATTTATACCTAAATCTTTCCTAAGTGCTTTCCAAACTGTGTGGCTGCTATCACTGTTAGGAATAAAGATACTTACCAAAGATATTTCTGACAAAGATGTCCTGCTCAGTAAGCCTAAGTCTGGGAACATATAATGGGGTTGGACAGTGTGGGTAACACTATTTGCTCTTTACACCAAACCGCCAAGTTAAACATTTTGGAGGTGAAAAATATTGATAAGCAGGTTCCTCAGATTGTTCCTGTAATTTGGGACTTTTTGACTATTAACTCTGCCCATTTTATTTATTTATTTATTTATTTTGAGACGGGGTCTCACTGTGTAGCCATGGATGGCCTGGAACTGGCCTGGAACTCACAGAGACCCACCTGCCTCTGTCTCCTGAGTGCTAGGAATAAAAGTGTATGCTACAATGCCTGGTCTCTGCCCATTTGTGTGTGTGTGTGTGTGTGTGTGTGTGTGTGTGTGTAATGGCCAGGGGTAGACCATGTTACTTCTCAGGGTATCTCACTGGCCTGGAACTCACCCGTTTGGCTAGACTGGCTAACCAGCCAATTACCAAGGATCCACCCGGCACAGCACTATACACAGCTGATTTTTTGTGGGTTCTAGGGATGGAACTCAGGTTCTCATACAAGGCAAACACTTTACGGTCTGAACTAGCCCCCCAGCCTTCTTCCCATTATTTTTTATTCTATTTTATTATTACTTTTTTATTTTATGTGTATGAGTGTGTTAAGTAATACATGTGTATGTAGCTTGGTGCATCTGTGTCATGCAGTGTCCACGGAGGTCAGAAGAGGGTGTCAGATCTCCTGGAACTGGAATCATGGATAGCTGTGCTGGGAGTCGAACCCGGGTCCTCTGCAAGAGTGCCCAGTGCTCTTAATGGCTGAGCCATCTCTCTAGTCCTGTTCTCACTCTTTTTAAATGAAAACATACGCTATGTTACAAGTATATTTTCTTCAGACCAACAAGATTTTTTAAATTGAAAACCCAAAAACAAAAACAAAAAACCCCCAATAACCCGGTGATAAAGACATTTTATTTAAATTTGAGAAAATGAAGATAAGCCCCTTCAGTGAATGAGGGTGGAAGGTTTGTTTTCTGTTACCAAACCTTGAGAAGCCCCAGAGAAAAGTCAGCCATCAAATTAAGTCCAGGCTACCACATGTGCAATCAGTTTATTAGGAACTCACTGTTGGTTACCACCGAGTTTTCAGAAAAGCAGAGCTGTCTGGGTGGGATGTGGTTACATGTTGCTTAGAATGCCCTCAAAGCCCAAACCATGTGGCAATAGTTACGTTCTTTGAATAGGAAGTAGTTAGTTATAGTGACAAGTACAAAAAATAAGCATGCAGCCCTTTATTCAGTTTTTCAAAGTCTCTGCTTATAGTTCTGTATATTACATGACTGTGTTATACAAATACATTTATTTACAAAACACTAGCTGTGCAAACTTGTTGCTTTTTAAAAATGTATGGGTAGTCCCATTTCTGCCCATCCCAATATATACTTTTAAAGCATGCATAAAAATTAACTTTGGTGTGGGAAAAGCTACTCTGTGCGCTGTCACATAACAGTGTTTTTATGTCTATTTATATATTTACAAACATTGATCGGTTTATAGAACCATACAGAAGTGTACATTTTAAAATCCACAATGCAATAGTGTGGGTTACCAGATCTAAGAAAACATACGAAGGGGGCGAGATACCACACAGAAAACAGCTAGAGAATTCCAATGTTAAAAAAAAAAAAAAAAAGGAAGAAGAAAGAGGAAAGAAAGAAAAAAAAAACAAAGAAAGGAAAAAGAAACTAGCTTGCTTGGGCTAGCAAATTATCACACATACTTTGTATGGCAGTGCAATCGTTTTGATAAACTCTTCCTACATGGGCCTCCCTACCGGCTGTGTAGAAGTTCACTGGCTTAGGGTCTAGCACACTACTTTCTAATGTACAATGCTGTAGTATCAAAATGTATTGGCAAAAATCTTGAAAGGAACCATGACGTTTTGACAAAAATAGAAATCTGTAATAAAGCTAAATAACAGTAAAATAAAAGGAAACATTATAGTATCTGCTTTACAATTTATATAGTCACACTGTGTAGTTCTCTTTCACTTCTAGTCTCCGTAATGAAAAATAGTTTTGTACAAAACATACTAAAATTCTGGAATCATACATGTCTCACATGCTTAATACAGCCTGCATCTCACACCCCCACTCTCACCACACTCTCTTTTTCATAGCACATGCTTACTTCATTTAATAGGTACTGAATCTAGACAGTAAACACCATGTAATTACAACAGCAACAGAATAGAAAAAACGAGCTTTACTGTAATCTATCAATTCAGAATTTAGCACATACTTTGCATGAAGCTTTGAACAGTACAGCAATATGATACATTCTTTTGTGAAAACAGTTGTTTCGGACTGCTAAAAATTAAAAACCAAAGAACTCCACCTTGTGCCTAACAGGATGTGGCCTAAATTTAAGAGGCTTCCTTTGCTGTGGATGGGGTGGCTCTGCTTGAACTTCCATTCTGTGCCTTGTAGCTGGCGAGGCTAGGAGTGTGGATGGTCCTGATGCCCTTGGCACCTTGATTCAGGGAGGTGGGGGAGGCAGGAGAGGGAGGGGAGGAGGAGGAAGAGGTGGAAGGAGGGGCGACTCGGCCGTTTTGAGACTGCAGTGCGAATGAGAGGTGGTGACCTTTACCTGTGTGAGGCGGGCTCTGAAACTTTAAGGAGCCATTAGAAACAGAAGGGATGAGGGAGGCGGGTTGAGCGGACCGTCCTGCTTGGGGGCTGAGAGGGTTAGAAGCAATCGATGGTTTAGTAGCAGGTGCACTGGGGAGGTTAGAGCTGTCACCGCTAGCAGAGGGCAGAGAACTGCTTTTCCCAGAGCTGGGAGAAAGGGCTGGAATCTTAGAAGCAGGTAAGGAGGGGGAAGTAGGCTTACAATCCCCACCAGCTTTCTTAGCACTTCCATTAGCCTGCAAACAAAGATGGTGGGAGACAGTTTGTCAGAAAGCCAGTAAACATGGTCAACCACAGGGCCTGGCAACACGGCCCTTCTGAGAACCATTCAAAAACAGGAAAACAACACACAGTTGGAAGCCTGAGCTAAGTTTTGTGCTTTTCTGCCTGGCTGAACACACCCCCCTCCCCCACCCCACACAGAGCAAAGGAGGTAGAGAGACGCAGAAAGGAAGACCACACATCACTCAATCCAACAACCATTTCCCGGTGCCAGTTGGCCACAGGTGTGGATTATTATTGGAGTGGGGCACTGTGAGTGGACGGTTAATGTGCTTTTAATGCAATGCAGTCAACACAGACGTTAGTATTGGTGATTTTAAGAGCAGTTCAATGACAGGTTGCTTTATCTGTTTCCCAAGATGTTTTGATGAAGTACTACATTCACCAAAGAGAATTCCACTGGTAGGGGCACCGTGTGTCACAAAGTAAAAGATGTTGGATTGCAAGCATGCAAGAGTGGTGAAAAGTTTAACAAGGCTCTTCATGCCCCCAAATCCAGGATGTCTACATAAATGAGATCTTACAAAGAAAACACAGTATTTGGTATAAACTAAGTCAGCGACTGGCTTCTATTAGCAATAGTGTCCATCCAAAAATTGGGTTTAAGGTAAAACTACCTGACGGTATTGGCGGGGATCCTGCAGTTTGGACTGCTTGCTGGGTTTGTCCAGGCTTCCGGGTCTGTTCTTGGAACTCATGGGGACTGGCATCCTGCTCGTCTGTGGAGTGGCGCTGGAGCCCTGTGGGAAGAAGCAGTAGAACATGAGTGGATTGTTACGGAAGCTGCCCCACTGTGTGCGGAAGGTCAGGTGAGAAGCTAGCGCCCTACATGCAGGACAGATTCAGGAGACACCAACTGGGTTAATCAGAAGAATCAGACAGAATCAACGCTCACTACTGATCAACGATTTTAATGTGAGTATCGACAGCACACGGCTGACCCAGCATCATTTGACCCAACACCGATCAGCAACAGAGGCACAAACAGAATCAATTAGCTGTTAGACACCTAGTTGCTGTTTTTTTGAAGGCGAGGGAGAGGGTAGGAGAGACGGGTACGTGACGAACAGACAAAAACGTGAGCCACCTGAAAGGAAGCGATTAAATCACAAGACACCTTTTGCTAATGTGATTATGGCAGGTTTGAGAAAGCAGGTGGGTCTTTCCATTTTCCACCAGACCAAGATACCTTACGTGAAGCTGAAGAAATGGACGTGAGGGGCTCTGGGGCAGGGGGACCTTCATCCAAAGCCAGCAAGGCCTGGGGAGAGACCTCACTGGCTATGTGGGGCGAGCTTGCATCACAATCTCTGTTGGAAGAACATGAGGTATCGACTATGGTCCGGGGGCTCATTTCACTGATGGTATTTTCCAGCTGCTTAATAGTCTGCTCCAGGCTGTCCAATGTTCTGTAGGTATTTTTCCTAATTTCATCAGTTCTTGAAGTTGGCGATGTGCCCTCAAGGCTGGGCTGCTCTGGCCTCCTAGCCAAATTTTTAGGGGTGTCTTCTGGCTGAGACCTGGTGATTTCAAACCGTTTGGCTTCCTTGTGCTGTTTCAAAGTACCATCCTCTTCCTCCTCTTCGTAGACCACCACCTGCAGGGTCTTCTTCCCGGTTTTGGTTCCTGTGCGGATGGCTTGAGTGAGAGCTGCCAGTTGCTTTTTGGGGAACTTGAACTTAAACTTTTTCTTGGGGCTTTCAAATTGGTCATCGGTCACATCGCACTGGTTTTCTGAGTTTGGAGAATCCACTGAACTAAACGCGCTCTGCTCTGTTTTATTTATTTCCTGTCCTCCTGGAGTCTGGGTCTCTGCCTTTTGTCCCATTCTGCCACTTCCTGAGACAGCTTCCTTATGAAGCATCTGTGCAGTGTGGTTCTGGACTCCAGCATCTCCAGCCTCTTCCTCTTCCTCCTCTTCTATCTTTTCCTCTGTCATCATTTTCTCTAATTCCTCGTCACATTCCTCAAAGATGGTTGAAAGTCTCTTATACGCAGACCGGATGTCCATGGGTTCATCAAAAATGATGATAACTGGTTTCTTGTCTAGGCATACAACCGGCTCCTCGCTGTCAGTCCCTTCTTGCTGGGAGGTCTCTTTTCTTGCATCAATATTGACTGTCTGTACATCTTGACCCTTTTGGCTAACTATATCGTGGACCTCCCCACTGGACAGAACCTGGACAGCGGTTTTGGTGATCATAAAGGCGATGTTGTCAGTGCCTATATGTTCCTCACTGGGAGAACTTGGAGTTGATTCTCCATCCCCCCTAGTGTTTATATTTGTGTGCCTAGTCCCTTTGGATCTTAGGACAACGTGGCCAAAATCTGTCATAAGAATATCTTGATCTTGGGTTTTGATATCATGAATACTTAACTCTGTTGACCTAGTTGGAGGAGGAATGTGACTCTTAGCTGTATTTTCTTGTCTTTCTTGACCTATCTCTTTTATCTTTCCATAATTAAACTTCTGATTCTCAGTGTCAGGAATAGCATACTGTGGTCCAGAGATGCTGGGCACTTTATTTGCTCCATTTTCCAATGAATTCATGCCAGTGAAATTGAAATTGACCTTAGGTATATTTTTATGGGAATAATTTCTACTGTCTCTGAATAAATTCTTATTGGGCATGGAATTTTCCTTCATGAAGATGTCAGCTGGACATTCTGACATTCTTGATGTGTCAGATATACTATTCACTGTTTCTCTTTCCCACTTGGGAGGGTCACTGGGTCTCAGAACCCCTGTAGTAACCTGAGAGGCAGAGCGGAGAAAGGAAACCAAACACATTAATCAGAAATGGACCTGCAAAGGGAAGTAATTAATCTGCATGGCATCAGTCAGAAGCCAGATGTGGTGTGCTCACCTTGTAAGATTCCACTTGGGGGCCGTTTTCATATTCAACATCAGATTTCCGAACATCTTCATGGAAAAATTCCAAATTCTGGTAGAATAGTGTAGGACATGTTACTCCACAAAACCACACCCCCCGCCGCAGTGGACTATAACTAAATCCTTCCTTTAATTACATTTCCAACATGCGGGCAGGCCAGGCACATGTGTTACACACCAATCCAAACCCTGTATCTCTGTTTACCTGGGGCCACTTTGCTCTCCAACCTCCCAAAGTGCCCTGTGCTTACATAAGGCAAAAAGTCTCCATGAACAAAATATTTCAAGTCTTTCAGATTGTGTGGGGAAGCAGTTATGAGAATACCAATCCTCTTGGCAATACCCATCTGTCTGAGATCTTAGCAGAATCTAGCACCAGAAGAATGCAGGCAGCTTAGCATGTGGGTCAGGGAGAATGTCTGGATTCTCATCCACATCTGCCTCTAAACTGTGTGACTTTGGGTAAATCCTTGATTTTACCTCAGGGCTTTTTGTTGCTGTTGTTGTCTGTCTTTTTGCCTATTGAATGAGGATAAGAGCAGATTTTTAACTTCTTTTCCAGCCCTGTCATGGAAGTCAGCTTGTAAGGATTTATGTTTTGGTCGGCTATAATACTTTGGGGTGAAAAAAAACCATTTTTCTTCTGTGGTCCAATGAAATGTCTTTGCAGGTGTCAAAGTGTTCAAATAACCTTCAAATTACTAACGGCTAAGATGATCAAGGCTAAATTCATAATGATGATGCTGCCTGAGCATATAGTTATGCAACCTTTAACAACAAGAGAATGTGCTCTGAAAAGTGTACCATGAGGTGGCTTTGTTGTGAAAACATCAGAGTGTACTCACACATACCCAGATGTCTAGTCAGTCATCAACAGAGAGTGTACGTATGCATAGCTGGATAGTCAGTAATAGAGTGTACTTAACACACCCGGATGTCTAGTCAGTCATCAACAGAGACTGTATGTACACAGACCCAGATGTCTACTAGTCACTGAGTGTGGCCTCAGGACTGCACTCAACAGACTTAGCACGTACACTTCTCCACCAAAGTAGGCTGCTGGCCACGTAACACAGCCTACTCTTTTACAGTAAGCTTTCAGTTTTTATATAAGTAGAAGTATAGCATATGGAGGTAAAGTATGGAAACTACATAAAGCATGACAGTTTTTATTGTCATATAACTGTATGTGCACTGCTTTTACACAGCTGGCAAGGCAAGTCTGTGTACATCAGCACCACCCAGACACGAATAAATCATTAGTATAATTGTGTGACACAGATGATGTCAGTTGAGGGTTCACTGTAATCTCATTGGATCACTATTGTAGACATGGTCTACATTGCTAACCAAAATGTTATTATGTGGTATATGATTGTAATCTAAAAACAAAACAGGTGCTTGAGGTTAAGATGGTGACTGTGATGTTATAATCCAATTTTATTCTCTGTATTTTATGATGTAGCTTTTGTTCTCCACATTTTAGGATGTAAAGGTGTTTATGAGGGTCTCACCAAGATTCAGGATTCAAGAACCCAACAGTGAGGATCCAGGTAACCAGAGCATTTCACCTGGGGACACAGCTGTTCCAGCCTAGGTGTGTGAGTAGCCTCAGGCCCTTCGTATCCTTAACGCTAGGATGCCTGGTCTCCTGAAGGCCCTGCTGCCTGCCCTTGTAGCTGCCGAACCGCACTGCTGGCTGTCCCAGGGTGAGGCACATTTGCAGTGGATGGCTATTTGGTTAATGTGATGACAGCATAACAAGGCACAATAGCACAGGCTGAGCCAAAGTCAATCTGGAACTATTCTGCTGCCCTGATTGAAAATGAAAGGAATGTTCACAAGCATTTAAGGAATAGCACACCAACAACAAAGTCAGTATTAATTACAAGAAACACCACTAATCACAAAGTACAAGGCACACTAGCCACCAAACACCTCCTGTTAGCCTGTCCATCTCCCAAGAGGTCCCCAAACAGGCACAGGGACTGTTGTGGCCACAGAACACAGAAGCTCATCTGTGGGATTTTTTAATTCAGATTATAATCACAGCTAAATAAATGAGGTTCCAGCCTAAGGCTTCAATTCCAAATATGGAGTTAATACATTATGCTAGGACCCAAGTAAGAGCTTGATAGCTCAGTCAAAGAAAGGACTGGAAGTGTGTAAACTCAAGTACCCTGCCGGTCCCATTCACTGGGGGTTTGGGGGCAGGCATCTGTTCTGCCTGGTCAGGACCAGGCCATACACATTGCTAAATATTTCCAGTCTCAGTAATATGTGTACTTGAATACAAAGTGCAGGAATGCTCCAGTGGAAAGGATCTGAGTTGACGATGAACTATCACTTTTATGACTCGATTAGGAAAAAAGGATAAATGTATCAAAGCAACTACATGAACAGCAGGGTACTTAGTCACAGGTGTCCCATGATCTGGCATCAATTTCCTAGTCTTTGATAGCCAAGACTGCATGGAAGACTGCTAAACCTTTTTAATATTTGTTTATAGGCCCCATGATCTGGATAGCTTAGACAACCAGAGAAGCATGCTCAATATGTATAGATAATAAACAGAAATTAGAGATGTAGTTATGAGAAAATTGTATAAAACTGTGAAATACTAGGCTGGAGCTTCATGAGGACAGGAGAAAAAACTGAGAAAAATTTTCATTTATGGAAGCGCAGATTAGGTCACAAAGGGTTAACAATGGCAAAAAAGTTAGGGAGAGAATCTGAAACTTCTGGTTATTATGAAGCGATTCGGCTACTGAGTTTAATGATTCAGAATGAGCACCTCCAATTAAACCCAGTGCTGGGCACTCAGTAAAGACTTGCTGGCTTTGCAGTAGCTCCTTGGTTCCAATTAGCACTCTCAGTGGGATATGGATTTAACCCTGTAAGACAAGTAATCCATGTAACCTTTGAGCCAATCAGAATTCTACAGTGACAATGGGAACTTCAGAGTGCTACTAAGTTTCTGGATAATGTTCTAGAATGATCACCCTTGTCCAAGTATGACATACCAGGCCATACTGGGGCCTTCCATGAATTAGTTGCAATAAAGCCATGTAAAAAGATTTCATGCACTGAAAAAGCAACGTATTTCTGATGTGATTTCACGGGCTCAGTTTTCTTTGTGATGCAGATTTTCTCATGATTATTAATACTCTCCTGATGCACAGAGAGATTCTCTCTGTCTGCTGATAGTTTCATATGTCTACTGAGGGACAGATACCTTTGTGTGAGGTTCTATGATGGATATGGGTCAGGGAGGAGCCTGTCCTCATCAGGCTGTGTTACATTCACTCTGGAGCATGCAATATGACATCCACCTCACTGATGTTACTTATATATAGGCCAAGGGATCCAGGTGGGGTAGCAATTAGGCTACCTGAAAGCTTTCTTGTTTGACTTTATTTAAGAGAAACCAGAGTCCCTCAATTATGAAACCCACGTTCCTTGGTGAGACTTGAGTTGGTAAAGCTTCTTCTCCTTAATTAAGTTTAAGATGGCTCTGAGCCCCCAAATCCCAAACGCTAGATTCAGCTTTACACTGCAGCTCTGATGTGGGCACTGACAACTTTCTCTTCAGGATGTGTGTGCCACACGGCTTTTGATGCATAGCCTGAACAGCGTTTTGAAGTCACAAGTACATTTTCCCATTAACAAATATGCTGAACTTACTGTCTCAGAAGAAAGATATATTTGAAAAACTGGTAATGGTCTGCAAAAATTCTTTTGGTATCTTGGAGGTATGTACTGATTTGTTCTTGCATGCTTCCAGGATCTCAAACTTGTATGTAGGTGGTGACAGGTATTTTCTGCAATGCATTTCTTTCTTGAATCTAAAGTTTTTATAAAGGTATGTTAAAACTGAGAAAAACTTCTGAATACTTGGTTGCTGTTTCTGTTTTTTATAAGTTGTTCTAGAAAAATCTTGGAAGCTATATACTCTTCAGTTTGGGAAGATACGGTCTTGCTTTTGCATATACTTGTGTTGTGCACAGGGACATAGTGTTCACTCTGGAACCTGAGCTAGGTAGGTATTTCTAATCTCAGCCTGAATCCCTATTGCTATTAGTTTAAAAAGAAAAGGGAGAGAGAAAACAGGGCATGAAGGTCAAGCGCAAGACAGTTGTGTTAGTACCGGAGCAAGAGAGGAAGGACTGTCTGGCCATGTGGCAAATGCACAACTGCCACGTGTTACCTTCTTCTCCTTGGGTGGGGCTGTGGCGCCTGGCCTAGTGTCTTTAAGGTGACTGTCAGCCCGGGACTGCTCAGCATGACTGTTTGAATTTACATCCATAAAGGAACACTTCTGGAATGCCTAAGGAATTAAAATACTGAGGTTAATAGGGTCCAAGTGTATCAAGCAGGAAAGAGTCAGGATTCCTGAGACATGGAGACCCCAGCCATGGTCCTGTGTGCAGGCTCATGACTGTGCACCCTGAAATCCTGTGCACCACAGAAGTCTACAGAGCTGGCCCAGGGGCTGAGCTATTGGTAAAGCTTCCTTACCAAGGATTTAAGAGCTATTAATACCCTGGGGCTAGAGGTGTGGCTCAGCGACAGGTACATGTTCAGCAGGCATGAAATTCTGGGCTCAATCTCAGGCATCAAAAAAACTAGAGGGAAAAAAAAAGCTCTCAGCTAAACTTGATTTGACTTAATGTAGTTTCTTGCCCCATTGGGGAATATGTAAATGAATTAAAATGAAAAGGTATATTCTTTATTTTCTTCATTTTTATCAGCTTTATTGAAGTTATGTGAGAAAGCTCACAAGGCATTTAAAATTTCTAAATAAAAATAAACCTATCCTATCAATGCTCTGAAATAGTAACAGTTACAGTAGCAGACACAGTCCCACTCTGTTCTGTCGCTCATTTACAATCAAATGGTGCTCTTTAGCCCATCTGGTTCTTAGTAGCCAGGGCTCTGTTGAGCTCTGGACAAAACTGTCAGATCCAGCAGCTGATTCCTGTGAACAGAGACAGGGAAGTACTTCCTTCTTAAAGAGGGAAGTACTGCTTCTGTTTCCCTGCTGAAGGATACAGGGCCATCAGGAGAGATTCATGACAGTGTGATCATGGGGGCAGGGCTGATGCTAACTCAGGGACCCATACTGCTGAACGTCAAGGGTATGTACCACCCAGTTCAACAAACAACCAATACCACTACCCAGGCCTCACGCAGAGAGCAAGTAAATCAGAATCTCTGGGTTGAAATGTATCTTTTCTCCAATTCCTCTAGTAATCACAATGTTTACTCAGTATTAAAAAGTATTTATGAAAATGAATACTCTTAAATAATTGCCTAGTATTTCCTTTCTGTCAGATGTCGACATTTAGAAATAACTCAGCAGGCAGACTTTGCCAGATGAGCATTTCAGCATTTGTCCTAACGTCCGGATGCAGCTGATGACAAGGGTCCTTCGTGCCCTCCAGGAGACTCCTTAGAAAGTTGGCTTGGCTTGCCTTGGGCATGCCGACTTTTCTACAGGCCTGTCCACTGAGGTCACTGTGACATCTTGAATTTCAGAGCCTGGATTTTCTTTTGATGCCTGGTGACCTGAGGACACCTGAGGATGCTGATCCAGAGGACTTCCTTATAGAGGGCGGTGATTGTCCTGCCTGGGGTGTGCCTGTACATGGGAAAACTTTTAGGATCAACAGAGGGGTCTTTATCAGAGCAGGAGTGCTAACATAGCAAGAGCAGTTCATTCACTATTATTAAACAGCCACCAACCAACAGAGCAAGAGGCCAATACTCCATCTTTTGGAGAGGGGTCATCATGGAGGGCACGGAAGATCAAGCCTTCGAAAGTGGGAAATGTCGTCTTCAAATAATGGCTACAAGTGCCCGTGACTTCTCTCAGAGGGCTAAACATGGAAATTTCAAAAGTCTAACAGTTACTAACTCTACAAACCCATGGTTCCTGTGTTCCTGTGAATAGATCTCTGACCATTCTAAGGACCTGTAGAGTCAGCTTGGTGGAGGGGCTGCCCCAGGCTAGTCTGTGAGTCTTGGTGAGGTTTGAAAGTGCTCACCCACGGAGCACTCAGCAGTCCCATTTTCCTGGAAAAATGCAAAGAGCTCAATTCTGGCAGCTTTTACCATGAATACCATCAAATCCAGAGTAGACTAAATGCTACAAAACTGACACAGTGTACTGCTTTCCCCACTCCAAATGAGGAAAGATTCCTGGGCCCTCATAAAACCACAGGGCAGTGGTGAGAACACAACATATTTTGGATCTCCATAGAGGCCAAAGTCCATCTGACAAGCAGAAACATCCTATAAAAAGTATGAGTTAAAAAAACACAGCATTTGGTGTACATGTCTAATGAGGTAGTCTTAGGATATCCTTATAGGGCAGAGTCATGGGACTGGAATGAGGGATGGGTTTGGGGTATATCCTCTGTAACCTACATTCAATCCCAGGAATAAGCTATGTACATTAGTTAAAAATTAAATGTCAAAAACTAATCAAATCTTTCTACAATAGGTCAAAGAAAATAGAAACAAAATTATCCAGCTCTTCAGAATATTTTACACTGAGCAGGAGCTTGGTGTGAATTGTAGGAGTCAGTCCTGAGTTATGATTCAAAGCCAGTCATTCTAAAGGTTGAAACCAGGAACAGCAGCAATCAACCCAGAATGCACCAAGACAAAACAAGAGCTGTTTCTAATCCCCATCTGAACTGCCTTGGGGATAAAGATAAGGCTATTAAGCCTGAAACAAAGGAAGAGAATTCCTACCTGCCAGATGGTGTGTGTGTGTGTGTGTGTGTGTGTGTGTGTGTGTGTGTGTGTGTAAAACTGATTTTTTAAATATAAATGTTCCAGAAGTGTTTTGTGAAATGGCTGCTCTCCATACATGTCTTAGAGCCGCCCAGACAGCTGGTTGACTGCCATCTTGGAAAACAGAGGTGAAGACTAAGATGCAACTGACGTTCCTCAGCTCCCCTCCCTAGTCTTGACCAGTGAACCAATCTGTGATGAGATCCATGGCCCCAGAGGCCCAGACGAGAAAGCAGGGAGCCAATGGCAGGGAGTCCCCTCAGCCACGCACCTGGAGTTCTGCCATGATTTTGTCTCCTTCTTCTTCTTCTTCCTCTTCATCCTTTGAAGAGGAGGTAGGGACTGGCAGCGGGGATGGGACCCAGGCTGAAGTAGGCTCCTCTGTGGGGCATTTTGTGGCTCTAGTCTGTGGTCCAGCATCTTCACCACTCACCTATGGGAGATTCAAACCACAGACACTGGCTTACTGCCTGCAGGTGCAAGTCAAAAAGATGGATCCCACAGCTCCTCACAGCTTCTTCTGGCTTCCTGGAGCTCCTGTCTGAAAGGTTACTTTATCCCTTGCATTCAGTTTGAGTTTGTTTGCACAAGTTGCCATTTTGATGAATGGACTGAAGAATTATATAATTGCAAATCCTCAACATTTAGTGCTTTCACAAAAGGCCCTCTCTACACTTCCCTCTCCTTGGAAATTGTACTTCCCATCTAACACAAAAGACAAAACTTTTACAAGTTAAGTGCAAGCTACAGCTTGTTTAACAAGGTTTTGTGTAAGCGCCCACACTTGTGTCAGCTGATCTCTGTAAGACTATCTTTCTATCCCCACTTGGGAAGTAGCTGGAAATCTCTATTTCATGTTGTTGCAATTAAAAGTCAAGTCAGGCTGGGCATGGCAGTGCATACTTTAATCCCAGCACTTGGGAGGCAGAGGTAGGCAGATCTCTCTGAGATCAAGGCCAGACTGGTCTACATAGCAAGCTTCAGGTTAGTTGGGACTAGAGGGAGACCTTGTCTCAACCCCCTCCCTCCCACCAAAGAAAAAAAAAGTTAAGTCAGGATGGCTGGGGTGATGCCCAGTGTAGTCTGAGATCACTGACTGATATTATCTGTGGCACTTTCTAGGAATCTAGTTGAGTTGAATCACTTTAAAAAAAATGTTCAGACGGATAGAGCTATCTACACCCAGAAACCAGTATGCCAGAGCTCAACCCGTCAAACCTTAGCTCCAGGGCTCTCTTTCCTGCTGGTGTAGACCACATCGCCAGACCTTGTGGTAGTGAGCCCCGAACCAGGCAGGTAGCTTCGCCGCGGGGGTGGGGGAGGAGGAGGGGGCGACTTGCCCCCTAGCTTGTCTGATTCTTGCTCTGAATTTGGAGACTCTTCTGGAAAACAGTGTGCCATTTCAAAGACAATCAAGACACATCTAGTATATAGCTATAAACTCTATGCAATTGACTTACAGATTTTCTGCCATCTCCATAGATCAACCATTAACAGGACAGACCTTGAAGACACACTGAACTTAACCCTCAGAAGGACCTTGTATCTTCCCTCTGCCTCAGTTTTCTCATCTCTTAAAGGGCATTATAATAACCTACTTTCTCCAGGGGTTTTTGAG